TTGATGCAAAAATGTTACATAGAAGACCCCCCTTAAAATGCGGTCCTGTATATGAGTTTTCATTTTTGGTCGCGACTTGTGAATCACCCAGTATATGTATATACTCGTAATAACCAGAAATAACTTTGAGATATCTACTCCACGGGTTACAGCGACCTAATGGAATTTGATATAAAGTGCCTGACGCGGAAGCGCTCAGTCGCTGGTCCGACCGAAATGATATATAAATAGTTCATTTGCATTGTGCACTTACCACATTTCGAAATTCGTTTTCTTAGCGTGATAGTCTTGATGATTTGTTTGGTGTTTCGTTTTACTTCAAGTATAATCTATATTGTTTCTATGTGATTTTTGAAAACAGTGGTGACAAGCTCATAGGTCTAAGATGTTCAAGCTCAGTGGGATTTGAGATCTAAGGGACCGGTATGATTAAGCCCAGGTTACATTGTTTAGGGTGGTACCTTTCTTCTAAATAGAAATTTATGTTATGTGACTGGTGTGAAGGAAAGCTACAGGATGGCTTATTTTGATCATAGCGATCAAGTGTCGATTCCCTTAGAGATTCTTAAAACCTTTTTTTTTCAAAAAATGTGTGATTGCTAAGATTTCGGGGTGTATTTTTTTTCATACTCCAACTACCACGAAGGCCTAAGGCCTAAGCACCCATTGGGTACCGTGGGGTTATAGGGGGATACATGGGAAAGGGGGAACGCCACACGGACTCTGGCGAGGGAACACGTGTGCATGCAACATGCACACATTCTGGCTCCGCCTACGAGAACCGCCGGGTGGTACCTCCGCGTTCGACAGTCAGAGACCGTCTACCACCTACGGACAATCACAACATCCATAGCCAAGAGAAAAATTTCTCCTGGGACGGGACTCGAACCCGCACAGCGCACGGCGACTGATCAGGAGACCGAAGAGTCTACTACTGCGGCCACCGCTGCTGCCTGCCGGTGTATGTAGGCAAACTGTGGTTCAGACTTCACGCTGACACACTGGAGAGACATTCACATTTATATATTGTTGCATTGAAATGTTATTTTGAATACTGCATTTCTTAATCCAAAACTAATCGGCTTTAAACTAATACAAGACCGCTTTTTCTACGCAAGCCGAGCTGCTAGTGAGCTGTGCGAACATAATAGTGGGGAAGTTGCTTTTTAAACTTTTGTGTTTTTGAGACATATGGTAGTAAATTATATGCATTTTCCCTCTTAATCTAAAATAGCCAAAGCTACGTCCAGACAAACGGCTGAGCAAGTGTGCCATGACTCGACAAATGACAACAAAACGGAGAATCCATCAATTTCGGCTAGGCGTTCGGGCTTAGGCGTACTGTTCAAATATATCACTTTCCAAGTAACAAGCCTAGGATTCCCGTTGCCGTTTATATGTAAATTATGCTTCTACTGACAAAAGGTTAATAAAGAACGACACTACATTACAGCAGATCTTTCGCTTGTGCCTGTTATTCTTGTTTAAAGTGGCGATTACTCCGTTAATACGGAGCCAACATGTATTTCAGTTTCGTGATATATTGTGGTGTTTGGAAACGAAAGCACTACACTCAGAAGTTACTATTTTCGCATGCGTATATTGGTTTATTTTGTTTTCTTAGTGAAGTCAATACAGGGTTGTTTCACAACTTATCCGACAAATTTTAACCACATATGCACTGTTACGAACGGAGTTGATTTCTCAAAAAAAAAAATGTAATAAAAGTCCTACAGAAATCGAGAGAACAAGATAATATAGTTTAACAGTTCACTTACTTATAAAAGCTGTTCAAAATTGTTTCCATTGACTGCAATGCAAGATTGGGCGCAAACCTCCACTAGAACGTGCACGTAAAACAATTGAACTAAATGTTCCGTGACGTGGTCTGTGCCCTTTTCGGAAATCGGTGTGCAAGCAAACGTGAAGCCGCTCGCGAATTTTGCCCTGCTTCTCATTTCGCTAAAGCAATATCCACTAACTCCTCATTAGCGTACACATGTGCCATTTTTATCAACAAATAACAAAAAACATAAACTCGCAAAATACTTTCTTATTTAACTTTACAAAAATCGACCGTTCTTCATTCAGATCACTCACGATACAGATTAAGCCTTATTTACACGTTCTTATCAGTACAAAAAAAAAAACGAAAAAAATCCTGGTATTTGTTTTCGTCATTTGTTTGGTACAACTTCTTTCGTAACAGTGCATGTGGTTAAAATTTGTCGGGTAAGATGTGAAACACCCTGTATATTTGCTTACTAGAATCTATCTGTGCTTTGTCTTAACAGAGTGTCTCAATATTCCGTGAACATAGAAGTTCCACGTTACAGGGGGTAAAAGTTTTCAGTTTAAAACACATTTTTTTCAGATATTTTTGGAACCGAAAAAAATGTGGTTCAAAAAGGAACGCTAAACGAACCACTTTTGCATAGAGATAAATCACGTCCACTCGACTTATTTGGAGTCCAGAAATATATGTCCACGGAAAATTGGGACACCATGAATATAAATCTTGAACCTAACTAGTAAATTAGCGATCTTCATCGAACAAGATATCGGAATAAACAGCAGTAAACGATAATACTAAAAACTTCCAATACTAACTTCAAGCCATTCATGATCAGTAGAATAGAAATATTAAGTAAAACCCATGTATAATGGGTCCTCCTCACAATCGGCGATTACAAACGATTTTGAGCGAGCACGATCGTGTAGAGGGCATACTCGGCTGTACTCGCCTATTATCGTCTATGATCGCCTTCGACCCGTGAATTGTCGGATTTTCAGACACGCATGAAAGGACAAATCGCCGGTTCATATTGATGCTTGCCGTTTGATGCTGCACTTCACTATCGGTGATGATCGTTGATCGTGTGATCGTTCATAAGAGGCACGATCATCGTGCAAGCATCCACACGAGCGTCCGTAGTAGTTTGTCAAATGACACAGTGATTCTCTTTGATGCGTGTTCGAAAAATCGACAACTCACTGGTGGATGCTTGCACGATGATCGTGCCGATTATGAACCATCACACGATCAGCGATAATCACCGATAGTGAAGCGCAGGCATCAAATGAACAGTGAACTAAGACGATTACTATGAGACCTGACAAGTGTAGCTCATGCATACATGTAGTTCGTAGATACGACTAAGAACACTTCCGCTATTACAGTAACAGGACGTATTTATGAGGCTACTGACGTTTTGTATTATTACGATGCATATTTGTAGTTCTGATTAAGTGAAAAGTATGATGAGCCGTTCTGACGAATTTATCGATACGCAGTACACGTTTATTCATATACCGGGTGATTCAAACTCAACCGTCACCATTGGAGTCTCGAAAACTGTTAGAGATACGAAGTCGCTTAGATGTGGGCAAAGTTGTGCATTTAGGTAATTAAAAACATGTCGCTTAGAAAATTTCGAAAGTCACAGTACTTCCGGACTCGAATTTTCCCAAAATAGTTTCGATTTTTTCCTGACTTTATAGTGGAATAATAATTAAAATTTCAATATGTCGTTTCGTATCTTCTAATAGCACTAACTTTGTTTTTTATCATGGACGCCATATTGGATTTTTGCACAGAGTTCGGATTCCATGTCATACATTTGCCAACTTTTCTCTTTACTCCGAATCAGCCGAGCAGGCAGAAGCCTACATGCCAGAGCACCGCGGCTGCTATGAGGATCCCAAAGCAACTTTGTTAATCTGATATTTGAATTTCTTAAGGTCAGATGATCTGGGAAAAGCCTCTTGTAGATCGTTCCTCAATCTCTACATTCTAGGGACAAACGAACGGTCGAATCGGCGTGTTCTGGATGTACGAAGTTCGATACGGTTAGTTATTTAAAAAAAAACGGAATTCGATAGGCATTGAAATTATCAGAGAGTCGTTTGTTTCATATACCAGATTTATCGAAAAATAGCTTTTTTCCTGACTTTGCTTGAGATGGGATTTGGAAATAAAGCATATATTGTCATTGTCCCCTTTCTCCACTACAAGATGGCGTAGTTAAATTTTCATTTAGAAGTTTTTCCTTTCGATTTTCATCACAAACTTTGTTTTTTCATATGGATGTTGCATTGGAACTTTGTACATTAAAATGGTCTTTTCTGTCTTTAAATTCAGTTATGTAATTCCTTAGTTGGTTTTTTATTTATCGGATGAAAATTATATTTAAATTAAAAGGTATTATAAATTTTGAACACAAAATTAAAACTTTATTGGTGGTAATAATAATAGTAATCATAAATAAGCCGAGGTAAATCATAGCAGATGTTTAAAATGTTTGCTGTTGTTTTGAAAACAAGATCTGGCTCTTCTCTGTACATTGTTCATTGTTCAATTTATTTCCCGTCTTCGCAGTCTTCTAAACTCTGCTGCTATGTTCAATTTGAGGTCTGGTATACGAAACAAATGACTATACGATAATATTATACATTGTTTAAATCAAAATTATTATTATCTGCGCAAAAGTCCAATATGGTCCATAAGAAAAAATAAAGTTGATGCTAGAGGACAAGAGACGAAACGTAACATTGAAATTCTAATTATACCATCCTGCGGAGAAGAAAGAATGGCAATGTGAGTGTACAATTTATTTTAAAATCCCACTACAATTATACTCAGGAGACAATTGAAATGATTTTGAGACAATTCGGCTTTTTCTGTCTCTCCATCCGGAAGTACTTTGAATTTCGAAACTTTCGAAGTGGCATTTTGTTGGTAACCTAAATAGACAACTTTGTCCCCGTTTAAGCGATTTCGTATCTCTTACCGCTTCCAAGTCCCGATGGTGAGTGTCGAATTTGAAATACTCTGTATAATCACCAGCAGAATGTTATTATAATAATAATAATAATAAAGTTTATTGCAAAAGAAAAAGTATAGCAGTAGTAGATGAAAGACAATATTATACAATAAACGAATGGACCCAAAAAAGTTTCGCAGAAACTTGTGCTTGGGCATGAGCTCATGTATAAATAACTTAAGACTAAAAAAAAAACATAAAAAAATATATTTATATAAAATTCATTAGACAAGTCCTGGTAAAATTTTTAAAAAGACACAATCGGGATAGAGACAATATTGAAACAAAAGGCAATATTAGGTGAATAGACAAGAACAAAAATTGGTAGAAATAAGTCATAAAATGCAATAATTCAGGGGGTAAGAATTCAAATCAGTTTGATTTATACATTTTTTTTTTCATTTTGAACTTTCAAATATCTAGAGAGATTTCCGCTTTCAGTAGTAGTAGATATTTTTGATATCAATCGCTTGATGAATCTTAAGCCTATGCTGGTCCAAAATCCACAGTCGTAGATGCTTTTTCATAGCCTTTGTATTTTTAATATCTTTTATCTGAGGGGGGATTAAGTTATATATTTTTGGTCCTAGGAAAGTCCCCTGTCACCCTTCTTACTTAAGGAATGGAGGGCAATGGTGCAATGACTATTACTAAAAACAGTGCTTACGACGTTGATGCCTAGGGAAAGATGTTCATGATAATTCAGGTGAAAGAACCAGACAGGAAGCATATTGAATTCGATCATCAGTCAAATTTACTGATTCGTATGGTGATAGTTCATGTTCCACTGATCAAATGTTCCACTGGAAGCAAAGCCCAGAAATACTTTCTATTTGAGATATAGAGCATCAAAGATTGGTGCATTACACTCATGTGGTTACATCTGCCTGTGACATTTTACGGAAACTATTTTTTTAATGTATCCACGGTATTCAACAATATAATAAAATCACGTGAACACATTCAATATACTATGATTCTCACCATTGAGAACCCGGAAACGGTTAATGTTTTCTATATTTCTGGACAGATATGGAAGAAACTTAATTTTCCCTAAACCAATTTCAATGTTTTTGACTAAATGGAATGAGTGGGATTTCAAAATAAATTGAAGATTAACATTGACCCTTTTTTTATTATCAATTTCATTTTTGTTTATAGCCGGAATGGATTTTTGCATAGGTGAATAGGATTTTAACCGGTTACAATAAATATATAATATGTTATAGATGTCATTTTGAAAAAAGTAGTATTTACGTGGTTGTGGTTAAAAATAACAGTTTATTGCATTTTTATTCGATTAAATCACCAATGCTCCAGTATTTGGCTAGCGTGTGTAGATGTTCTTCAGATAATTAGTCCATTTATTGACTATAGTAAGCATTATTTTAGCATGATGGAAGCGCTCCACATGAACGTCAGCCATACTTTAATGTTATTGGATTGTAAGATGTCTACACTAGTTTAGGTATGGCAGATATGAAATGGGTTGAGGAAACTGCAACGTGGTGGAGGCTTTTATAAACTCCAACGTTTGTCAGTCATATAAAATGTTTTCAAAGTTTTCAATACCTCCACTAAAACGTTTCATTTCATTCAATGAATAACTTGAAGTATCAACCCATGTCACGGTATTTTATTATAATGACTAATACATTATTGTAATTAAAACCGGAAGCAGAAACTGTTCACCTATGACTAGTTCTTAAAAGTGATTGGCTAATTGTATAAAATAAATGACTATCTGACAATTTCAAGTCCTACTTAGAAAATTCAGTTTTTTGAAAAAACTAAGGTTTGGCAGTGTCGATGTATACCACATTATTCATTTCTGAAAACAGAATTAAAAACTCACGTGTGCAAAAATCCAATATGGCGTCCATAAAAAAAGAATAAAGTTGATGAAGGGAGGCATCAGACAAAACGTCATATTGAAGTTCTACATGGGAAACACTGTAATTTAGTTTGACATCCTATTTCAAATAAAGCCAGGAAAAGATAAACACGATATTGGGAAAATGGCTCAGAACAATTTTCTTGGTTACCTAGACGTGCAACTTTGCGGCATTCAGGCAGAGGTGACACCCTGAATCTCAAATAGAAAGCATTTCACGAATTTCGCCCATTGAAACATTTGATCAGCACAATATCTACTATCACTGTACGAATTTTTATTATATTTGACTGGTTGTCAAATTCCATAAGTTTTGTGCCTGTTACTTTAGTTTTACACATAAAATATTAAAAAAAAGGAGAGATTTTAAAACATCATATCCAATGAAATGACCATTAGAAGGGAACCTGTGTGGATTTCAGTTAAACTGTAATGTGCTCTCTCAGCTTAAAACTCATATCTGTAAAGTCTTTTTGATTAGTCGTGTACATTTTTTTAAGCTGTACCTGCCAAAATGAGCATAGCAAGTAAAACTCTACAAACTTGATGAAAACTCACGTTCGGTACACCCCTGTTTCTTCAACCCTGGCCGCAAATAAGAGAGTATACGCTAACGACCTCTACAATCAATAACCCAAGTGCACTTATGTATATAAATCCAAGGTCTCAGGTGCGATTCCGATGGGGGAGCCGGTGCGTCACAATAATACAGATAAATTTTCCTCCTGCTTCTATTTCAGATATTCAGCTCCATTGAGGGTGCACACTTCAATTGATCAGTGTTGAGCCGATGGTTATTCGGAATAATCGCTAATTGGCGAGGAAGCATCGTGGAAATCAAAAGCATGATGAGATACATTTGTTAAAAATAGTCCTCTAACAAATACAGGGTGTTATCTTGCTTTTTGTAAATAAAGCACTCAGTATATTATTTGATTCTTGAATTCTACACAAGATTCTGCCTACAGTTCATGTATATCTCTCTATAGTTAAGTCTAACCGTTTTCGAGGTATCTCAAATTTTTCAAAAAGATGGCAAGCAGGCCAGTAAATTATAACGTTATATCTTTCGTGGGTTTATCTTTGTAGTCTAATCATATTAGCAAATTTTCCCGAAATAATTGCAAAGTCTGGTTTTATTGGTGCAACTTGTTTAAGGGGGTATTTAAAACATGGACGTTATGAAATGGGTACACCAATTTCAGTGGGAAAACTTTTTTTTGACAACAATAAATGAGAAAACTTGGGATTCAATCGAAAGTGTTGACATGACCGAAAAAACCTTTAATACAAGATTTCTAGGTATTTATGAGACCTACTAAACGAGACCACACGTAAAAAGATCCGACTAATAGCAAAAAAGCTATTGCCGAAAAACGAGGCAAAATGCAGGTTTAGGCACTTGGTAATGCGACGATAATTTCATGCAACTACTTGAAATTATTCAAATCCCTCATACTTCTAAATAACAACAACAAAATTGGATTATGTTGGTCAAGTAGTTTTTTGAGAATTTGTAATTGTTTATCCCAAAACACATGTCTTCCGGCCATCATTACTAGCTTATTATATACAGGGTTAGTTAAAAAGGCATTTTATAGCAAAATACACTAGTTTACCTTGCCGATATGAATCGCAAACCATTCCGAACAAAGGTTACGCTTTTTCTTTTAAACAAACTCAAACGTTTCGTATTTGTGAGTAATTGAACAAATGCGCTACGATATTCGAAAAACATACTTTACTATACACATTTTAAAACAAAGCGGATGTGTCTATCATCTTTTGCTGCGAATTTCTCACAAATACGAAAAGTTTGAATTTGTTTAGAAAAAAAAACTTAGCCCATTATTTATTGGATAAAAATACCATTTATCTTCCTGCCCTTTGAAATAACCCTGTATATTGCTCAATAAACTAGTAGTGAATACCAGAAAACAGGTGTTTTGGGATAAACAATTAGAAATTCTCAAAAACTACTTGACCAGTCTACTCCAATATTGTTGTGGCTATTAAGAAGTACGAATCCTACAAATTTGAAGATTTTCAAATATCTGCGAGAAACCATCGTTGCATTACCAACAAGTGCCAAAACCTGCAGTTTGCCTCGGTTTTCGGACATAACTTTTTTGATATTATTCGGATCTTTCTACGTGTGGTCTCGTTTGGTAGATGTCTAAATACCTAAAAATCTTATAACAAGAATTTTTTCGTTCCTGCCAACACTTTTGATTGAATGCCAAAAAACACGTTTTCTCATTCTTTGTTGTCGAGTAAAAAGTTTTTCCACAAAAATTGGTGTACCTATTTTATGTGACCATGTTTTGAATATCCCCTTAAACAACTTCCAGCAATAAAACCAGACTTTGCAATTATTATTTCGTAACCCTGCGGTATTTTCGTCTAGTATGATTAGACTATTGCCATATGATTTTGTAACGGATTTCTTAACAGTGGGGGACCTGCTTTAGTAGATTTCATTCCGGAATTGGATAAGAATTAGTACAGGGTAGTTTAATTTTTTCAAACGGAAATAAGGTTAATTGTTTAATAAAGTTGTCTACTTCGTAAACTAATAGTTTTCGATATATATGAAAATATTGGTTTATCTCCTGGAAGTAATCGCGAAAAATTTCGTAAGTGAAATATTGAATTTTTTTGATGTTATATGACACGTAATTCACCAAAAACCATGTCAGTCATTTCCTTGGGTATTTTTGTCTGTCTGTCAGTCTGTCCGGTAATCCTTGGCCTATCTATAATTAGCAAAAGGACACTTACAACTGGATGAAATTTTCACAAAAGGTTACTGATATGTCAAGAACGAAGAAGCATTGTAGTTTCTGAAAATCGGTCGACTGGCGGCGCGTTGAAAGGCCAGAAACAAAAAGTAAAAAACTTCCCTTTTGATGTGTCGGAGGATCCTGATCACTTTTGGAACGTGGGGGAGGATGTCTCGGAATTATTTTCACAATACTTTTTCTCAAATTATATTCATTGTATCCCATTTTCGCAGCCGACGAATAGTAAACCTATCAGAACGTAAAAAAGTTGAAGTATAGTAGTAGTAGCATAGTAATACATTATGCGTAATCAAAGCCCATGATTTCAATTTTTGCCAATGCCTTCTCCACTGAAATTCATTCTACTCTACGACTACGCCTTAGGACAGGGTACAATGATTTTCATAGCCAGCAAACAATAAAGATACCACAGCGTACTTAGCGTCAATGTCATAGATATGGAGTGTTGGTCTACCCAGGAGGTCTTGTATTTTCACGTAATTCAGTTTACTGTATTTTTATAACCTTTTATTTTTGATGTTGGTGTTTCTTTACCATATTTAATGGTTGTTGGTTAAAAGCCTTATCAATTTTCTGGGGCATTTTTCGGGTTAGCACAAATACTGTACAACGTATATTACAGAAAATGTAAATGGCAACACTGACACTTGCCACTGGGCTGGCAGCAGCGGTCACTATTACCACATCCAACGATACCTGAATTGCATACTGTATATATCTCATATTGACTATTTTTATTTGTCTCTGGGATAGATTTTTACCTAAATTAATTTCTTTTAACAAATATATCTAATGCCACTAATTATGCCTCTTAACCCACTTCAAAATATGTTGTACTTTCGAAACTGTCAGTTACAAATACAGTTAAAGTTTATTCGTGTATCAACGTTCCAATCATAATCCCCCTATTTTGGACTGCGCACCTCTAATTAATAATCAATAAATGGTAGATTAAGCTTAAACTTGTATTTATGTTACTACTACAGTTATTGTTAATTCAATAAGCTGTGGTATTACTATTGCCGCTCGTAAGCACGCTTAAAATTGGAACGTCCATTAGCTTTTGTATTATACTGTTCTTTTCTGGGCAGAGTATAGACACAGGCGTCGACAAACATTTTTCTTTTCTAAGGGTTTAATGCACAGTTGTTCACTAACCTCCTTAATTGTAAGAGTGTCTTATTTGCTTTGTCACTTGGCAGTGATACGAAAGTTGTCAAATATAAGAGCAGGCGGTCTATTCCTGTCTGAGGCCTGCTTATCAACATCAAACCCTTGATGCGTAATGTGTTACGTGTAACATGTAATCAAGCTAGGTACGCATCTGAGTTCCTGGAAGAAAATAGTGGAATAAAGAAGTAATAGTAATAATAATAAAAATAAATGTCTTTATTCGCCATACGTCAACAAATAAACATACACTTATATAGAAAAAGAGAGTTTGGCGAAGAGCAACGTTCAGATGTGCGCCACTGATGTGACACACATCTATTCTTCCACTTAACCTCCCCGACGTTACAATTACGGCAACAAGGAACGATAGATGGAAGAAAGCTGCCTTAGTCATTGAGAAAGATACTCGACAACTTTCCTGCGGCTGACTTGTACCTAAACTGTCAAGACGTATATGGCATCCTCACAAAGGCATATATTAGTTCCTTAGTATCTCATCAGAAAAGTAGAAGTATGCTAATATTTCAGTTTCTCACTTTACTCATCAAATTCAATCACTAAAACATTTATGTTGTGCGACACTATTTCATTAAAAATGCAATTTTAATTAATCAGGTACGTAATTAGAACAACGTACTAGAAACAGTGGACTTTCAATTACATTTTCAAATAACATGTTCGCTTCAACCTGTAAATAAAATATTACATACAAATTACGTGGATGGTACTTGTGAAAATATAATTAAATTAAATAATAATTACTTTACCCTCTCTATGCATATATAACCTCATACAAGGTGTCCTGAATGTTGGAACTTTTCTTTACTGAAAAAAAAATGCGAGAAGTACTCACTATTCATTTAATAAGAAATTTCAAGTATTATATGCTACACGTTGTCCGTTCGATTCAAAAACACAAGTTTGTTAACCTCATCCCAAATTTGTATAGGTCCTCTACTGTGTCTGGATGCGCTTGCGCGATATCATAACCAAACTATGCGGCTGGGAACAGAAAGACCCAGGAAAGCAATCTAAATACGCTTTTAAATAATCTAAAGTAAGATTAAATCGATAACTTCGTTCTAATTTTGGTTTTCCAAATCCGGTTTGAAAATAAACTAGGTTAACCTACACACCGCGTGGCGCCCATCGTGTCTTTTCACGTAGGTTGCAGAGTCGGGTTAGGCTAATCAGATTTGTTCGCCACTTAATATGTTGATTATATCAAAACTTTGGTATATGCAGCTTCACCACCAGTCGCCTGGCCTCCACGATCCCCTGACCTAAATCCATTAGATTTCTTTGTGTGGGGATTTCTAAAAGAAAAAGTGTACCAGACTCCCGTAACCACAAGAGATATGCTAATAGACAGGATCAGGAATGCATGTGATGAAATAAGGCCTTATTTGAATAATGCTATACCAAGCTCGATCATTCGTAAATGTGAATTGTGTATTGAACAATTGGGTTTACATTTCGAGCAACCACTTTAGGTTTTGTATGTTTGTCCTAACTATCCAATAGCATTTTAGTTGTAAATAATTAATTTAATTTGTTAAAAATAGTATTGGAAAATTAAACAAATTAATATTCTGATTTTTTGTGCTTATTTGGAGTTAGGAATTATTGCTTTGTTTAAAAACACAATCTAAACGATCATCTTAATTACTTGTAATGCCAAATCGAAAATGTAAAAAAAATATTATTTTCCCATAAATAATTAAAAATGCATCGAACCCTAAAAATCGAAATATCTCAAAAACGGCTAACTATAACGAAAACTCACAGGAGAGCTTTTTTATGTTGAGAAGTGCGAAGAATCAGTTCTTTTATTCAAAAAGCAAAAAATGGCACTAAGAAAAAAAATTCGGTCATTTTAATACACTACAGGTACAGTAGAGAGAGCGCCCTCTAGCTGATACAGTAAAACTATGCCCATGGTTCGTTTTGTCGTACCAAAAAACCCTTGTATACCAATTTTCACTGTTATACATCAAATATTGTTAGAAATATTTAAAGAAAACTATTTTAGAACGTAAAGTTAAACACCCTGTATTTCGGAAGCCACGCATTTTTCGACCCATGTTTATATAGACTTTATGCATTAATTTTAAAAGTTCTATCGAATCTTAAAGTTATGCAACAATAAACTGAAACACCCTGTATAAGCAGCAGTTTCAACGTATGTTTCCTTTGTGTACATCTTGATCATTCGATCGGTTTTTTATAGGCAAGAAAATTGTTTTACGATAAAATGTAGGTTATGCTTTACAGTCAATGGTGCTCAATGCTGGAAGTCTAAAAATTTATGAGACTCTTAATAAAACAAAAATTTACCATCTAGTAGGCCATGACGTAACCTATCTACAGTTGTAGGATTATCCTTCAATTTCGGGACACCCTGTATATTATGTAACATATCGACTGACACATTTTGTTACATCATACTTTATAACAATAATGAATATTTTAGACGTAATATTCGTTTTAAGAGAATTCTCCGTTAAAGTGAAGCTACAATGTGAAAAGTGACATGAAATGAATGATGTTTTTTTCTATTTTCCGCTAAGCATTGAATCTCCTGATTTTATTCTGAATCCGCTTTCCGTATCAGCGTAATTTTTCCAGTAAATCGATTCTGCAGGAGCCTGCGTGCCCGGAATATGAATTTTTCCGAGTGCTTTCCGTGTTTTTGCATGCTGCCGACGGCGGCATGGCAGTGCGTGACCGTCGGCGAATATTTTCAGATCAAACAAAAAATATTGACGATTTTATTTGCGATCGCCGAGTGCCCACGCCACACGGCATGTCGGCAAACATTCAATGGACACCCGATGGGTCTAGCAACTCTAACACGGAATAGAAAATGAACACGTAAAGCATTTACGGATACTTAAACATTCTGACGTCTATCTGAAATAAACAGCTGATAAGCTTGTGCCTTCTTGATTTATTTTGTACTGTTGGCAATAGTGAATCTCATACAACAAAAGCTGGTTCTTATCGCGGTAGGGTAAACACGTTACTAGTCAAAATCTTCGGATTTTTCGAGATGATGTCTTGTTGAGGGCTAAAAATGCGAAAAATAAATTTGAGCAGATTTAAATATATATATATATATATATATATATATATAAATATATATGTTCTAACTTTTTGGATATTTTTTTTAGTTTGATTGCACTAAGGAACGAAAACTGCCAGACGTGGTTGTCTAGAGCGCTTCCCACCTCCGATCTTGATTTTGTTGATACAGTTACTTTGATGTGGCGGGTGGATAGATATGACAAATATTTTAAATAGTGTGGCAAAGTGGTAAACTTCGCCATCTTCGTACATATATAATGCAAGGATATTAAAAAACAATGGCAATATATATAGCAAGAAGTACATGAAAAATAATAAATAAAGGTCCCATAAACATATCTCATTTTGGGACTAAAATGCCCTATTACCAAGATACAGGTGTTGCATATGTCTAAATGTTCACATGTATTGGCCATACTGTTCGTAGTACATGTACAAGGATGTATGTCAATATCATGAGTCACTCCAGAGATGCAATACTTTTTCCAGCTTCTTCAGCACCCTGTATTTCGGCAGTCGGAAATTATACGATTCATGTTCATATGATTTTTCGCGATGCACATTCGACTACTTATACAGGGTGTTTCACAACTTATCCGACAAATTTTAACCACATATGAACTGTTACGAAAGAAGTTGATTTCTAAAAAAAAAAATGTAATAAAAGTCCTACAGAAATCAAGTTATAAACCTGAGTTTCAATAATAAATTGACAACTAAATATACAGGGTGACTTTGAAGTTGAGTCATTAATTTTCAGATAATGATTGTAGAAGGAAGATAAACCAAAATATGTGTGTAAAAATAAACCTTGTTTTATAAAGTATCCTCACGACAAGTATTTCAGTGCGGACCTGTATTCGATCGTGCGGTCTTGGAGCACCGGCATGCCCTCCCCTGTGAGGTCTTAAGTCACCTGATTCACGAGCCCTTTGTACTACATTAACAAAGGCACGAGGGGTTGGTTGCACTCGATTGGGAAACCGATACGCATAAATCCGTGATGCCGCGTAAATAAGAATCATGTCCACAAGTTCAGCATTTTCGTAAACATGTGCCATTTTTGATTTCGTTTGAGCCACGCAACAGACACCACTATTCACTCACGCGTTACCGACTGACACTGACTGTATACAACTGAATAAAATAATTGTAAAAACATCGTTCCAAATTCTTTCGCTTTTTTGTTTCCGATGCGATAAACCGATAAGGCGGATTATATCCGTTGTTGCCAAACACGAGCACATAATATTATTATTGAGACAGGGCGGTACTCAAACTTCCAAATGGCTATAACTTTGTTACTTTAATTTTACCAGAAAAATGGTAAAGGAAAGAAACATTTCTTTTGATCAGATCTACTCACTGTTAAAATAAATGACTCAACTTCGAAGTCACCCTGTATATATTTCGCGTTCATCGTCGTGATATTAGAACACGCATTGAAATTTTTTTGTAGCAAATGTTGTACCAAACTGACGAAAACAAAATACCAGGAATTTTTTTTTTCATACTGATAAGAACGTGTAAATAAGGTTTAATCTGTATCGTGGGTGATCTGAATGAAGAACGGTCATTTTTTGTGAAGATAACTAAGAAAGTAATTTGCGAGTTTATGTTTTTAGTTATTTATTAATAAAAATCACACATGTGTACACTAATGAGAAGTTAGTGGACATTGTTTTAGCATACGGAAAAGCAGGGCAAAATTCACGCGAAAACAAAACATTCCTGGTATTATGTTTTCGTCAGTTGTTTGGTACAATATTTACTACAATAAATTATTAAGTCTTGTTCTAATATCACGACGATGAACGCAAAATGCAGATATTTATTTTTCAATTTATTATTGAAACTCAAGTTTATAACTTAATTCCTGTAGGACTTCTATGACATTTTTTTGAGGAATCAACTTCATTTGTACCAGTGCATATGTGGTTAAAATTTGTCGGATACGTTGTGAAACACCCTGTATATACATACCCTAGAAATATACTGTTTTCTAATTCATCATGTGTAAAGTATGTAAACACCAATATTATACAGGAGCATGGTTACATGGAGTATAAAATTTATACTTATACCATTTAATGGTAGCAGAGATTACTGCTTTCCTAAGTAGTTTGTCGATATGAAATCAGCAAAGAAAAAATACATAAAAACTGGAGAACGAATTAATCACTCTCACTTTCATAACCATTATTCAGTGGTTTCAAGTTGACTCATATTTTTTCTTGCATTTCTGTTGGGGGATATTCGATATACAATTAAGGCTAGATATTTTCCTCAAAACTGATGTCATTTCTCATTAATGTAAATAGGTTTTCAAAATACTACTGATAGCATAGTGAGGCATTAATGGCACTGCGCCTTTTATTGAACCTCAATCTTCGTGATTTATATTACCCAGTTTGTACACATGCAAATTAGTCTTCAAAAATATAAGTACGGACCAGGTGATCTAAATATCGTTTGTTTCCTTTGACATGAAGCGTTTATGAAGTACTTCACAATTGTACATTAATTTTAAACCGAAAACGTCCGACATTGTGATGCTTCGTAGTGCTAGACCAGCTGCAGCATATAAAATTTCTCGTGAAGTGAACACAAGTCACTTCCATGTCGTTCTAATCGAACCTGTAATTTCTTGTTTTGTATTTGCATCCATTTTCGGATTACTGCCTACAATAACGCATCTGAAATGCTATCCGTGCATGTAGGAATCGTATAGATTAATTAACGATCCGCATTGGCCTAGCAAAGTGTGAAATATTTTAAACGCTTCCATATTCAGCGCAAAATAATTTCGGGTTGTCATGGAAAATGCAGGAAATTGCACTGCATTCCATATGCGTGATGCACGGTATGTGACACGTCAACTGCTAATAATCTACTTTGGGAACTGCCAGGGTTCAAATAAATGTGGCCCATGATTTATTGATGTTCCACCCTTAATGATAAATAGGTTGAAATGGAGGTTCGCATATTTGGTCAATCGTACTTTTTTAATCAAGACTGATTCACGGAAATCTGGCATATGTAGATAGAAAATCAGGTTGGGTCAGCTACGATTTAGTTAAACTCCAACTGTCAGTGTTATCATTCCAAGTTGATCGATAATAAAAACACCTGCTAAGAGTGCGTGCAATGGTATTTTTTGAGAGTAGGCTTTAAGTATTACTTTGTCATGAAAGAGCTTGTTTTATGCTCCATGCTTGTCTGCCCAATAAAATCACAAGTAGTGAGAGAATCTCTTAAATGTAAACGTTTCTATCACAAAGGGGATCTTCTTTATTACAATGACAACATGTTTTATTTATCCAACGTTTTAAGACGGCACCACGCAAAATCAGCATGCTCAAGCCGCCTGATGTACCAAATACCATTCGTCCATCGTTCCGAAGACGTGAAAACCCATTCAGAACTGATTTTTATGCAGTCTTAGTCTAAAATGTTGCAAGCGCATTGTTTTGGATCTGAATCGCGATAAATACTACTGCGACATGTTGTATGTTCTGTGAAAAAATTATATAAGTTTGTCCTTGAGAGAGTAAAGCAGAACACCTGCGCGTTAGAGATCCAACAACTAACCATGAGAAAAAACCTGGATGAATAACTCACGGTCCATTAGTGATTGGAGGATAACGACTAGATCCTTTATTCAAGGATATTTAACCAAATTGGGTCACAGCCCACATAACAACTAAAAGACACTTATTGTTGTTTAATTTTATATAAGCTGATTCATTTACCTTCCTCTTGTAATTGTCATCCCCTTTATATAGTATTGAGACTTCCTCCCATTTTATGTCCTGTTCCCAATTCATATTCGCTAAGTGCTGACTTTGAGGTTTCTCACTTTGTTGTATAACATAAAGGATAAGTAACTTAAGATGTAACGGATATTCTGCATGACCTGGAAATTAATATGCTACAATCCATTATTTTTGTTTACATGTTGTCATATATATGGTCATGTTGGGTACGATTTAGTCAAGCTTCTGATTTACGAAAGCGTCAATCATCGGACGTCATCTCTCTTACCACATTGTCAATACTTGAAGCACCTGCTGCTTCTGAATGTGAGTAAGCTAGGTTCTGCTTGAAAAATTTCTCCAGGAACGTTTTTTTGGACAGGGGACAGATTTTCCAGAAATATGACATAATCAATAAAACCCCTCAGTCGTTCGCTACACACTCCACCACGATAATGCTAGCAGTATTTCATCATGGTGGGCGCTAAGTTTCCATACCAAAGGTAACCATCTCATTTTGACCGTCGTACATATACATACACCTATGTACGTTCATGTACAGTCCAGCTAGTAGAAACCTATTGTGGAACTTAGTTTCCATACCAAGGGTGGTAATCTGACTTTCAGCATCGTATATATAGTTACATGCACACCTATATAGTGAGCCTCCCACCGAGCGTCATATCCAGTTGTATCTGATAGTTAGCCTAATAAGTAGATGATCAGGAGTGTCCTCTTTTTCGCAGTTCGCGTACTTTCTTCAGGTAGCTGTAAAAACAACCACGTCCTGTGAGGAATTGTGTAGTATAGTAAATCTATCGGCACCGCTCCCTTGTCAATCCATATCTTAATTTCTGAGATTAGCCTTCTAGCCCATGCAACATGTGGCCAGTTGCATTCCATATCTCCACCCGTATAGCAAGAAGCATCACTATCGTTGCATCTAGCTTCGGCGCTCTCTCCAAACCAATTGGCAGGAGATCGGCCACCACCAGTAGTGCTTTGTTTTGTAAGCGCAGATCACGCGCAACGCTACCTCTCGCTGGCTTCTAAGCATTAGTTTATATTTATTTTCGTTATAGATAGAGACTACGTACAACAAGATCGAGTTTCTCACCCCTGCCTTAACCCTACGCTCTCTATATTCACCTTGTTTCGGCTACGGATCTCGGCTTCCTCAACCACTCGATCTTAAAAGTCAATGAAGTTAGCTTGCGTTTGCCAGAAAGTATAATAACTTCGTCTTTGGCGCCAACTTCAAGCCAGTTCCTTCTATCAATATGGTGATCCTCACGATTCCATATGCCAACAGCCTTTGCAGTGAGCGTCAATATACTCTATCAGGCGAGTTCCTCGCAGCATCTGCAATGGAAGAACTTTAACGTAGAGCATGTTCCAACGCAACTGCCCTAGATCAGATCCCTGCGGCAGTCCCATGGTAACCTTCACCGCCTTTTCTCCTAGCATACGTGTCCTATCATTTAAAGCAACTCTTCTTCATGTTCTATTGATAGCTAGGGGCGCCTAGCATCTCGATATATCCAACGAATTTCTGATATTGTGCATTCTTAACATCAAAGGCAACCATAACGCAAAGCTTCTTGGTACTGTCGTTGCTGCTATCCAATGCTTCCGCCAACTATACCACTGAACTTAATCTATTGTAGACTTGCCCTTTCTAAATACATATTGCGCGACGTATTTTCTTAGCCTATCAGTAATTCTAGGACCTTTATCAGTGAACTTAACCTGCACATATTTATATATTTATGCAGAAATGGTTCAGAATATATAATCCTACTGAAACCAAGCTTTATAACATTTACTCGATCGATCGATCGATGTCTCCAATGCAACGCTCCAACTTATGTTATCAAAGCGGTAAATACTGGGCCGTACGTATTACATTGTCGATTTGGCCTCAAGAATGTATCCGCTGTGAATTTTGTGACCTAAATACGTCAGATTTTGTCTATTAACCTAAGTTCGCCCTTGATTTAAATTATACAAGATTAGTAAACTAGTATTACTAAATAGTATAACATTCACAACTTCGTCGCAGAAAAGTACAGATGATTTGAAAATGAGTCTTAATGAGGAAGTAGTTAGTCAAAGTCGTATTTACCCACTTTATCCGTTTTATAACAAATGAGCGCTTTAAGAAAATCGTTTTGTCGCAGTTATGCGTGACCATCAGAAAACGACGCTAGACGACCGTGATACGCATCAGCAATAAGGAAAAAAATTCTGTTCCGAAATGGACCACATAGAAAAAAGGAAACGGAAGAAGAATCCGAGGGAAACTGCAAACATAATATCCTTGTTTACTTTTGGGTGAGTAGAAATGGCAATATATTAATTTTTTTCTTACCCCCTCAGAAATTCTATGGCAGAAAGCAATAAGGGTCTGAGCTATCAAGAGAAAAGAAATATGAAAAATATTTCCCATTCGTATAACAAAAATACCATTTAAGACAAATTAATATTAGTAAGCATGACGGTTAAGGATAGTACATCCCGGAAATTGAATCATCTCGTATCTACCACTTGCCTAAAATACTTATTCTAATAGTTCTGTCTCCTTCTAAATTGAAGAATACCCTTTAAAATCGCTTTAATTGAAATGGTACAACTCTCACACATTAATGAGCTCAGATGTCTCTCAATGCCATTGAGTGCAATTGAAGCTCTCCGTTGGATCTAGTGATCCGCGGTGAAGCGAGAATAGTCGCTCATCGACTGTGGAGTCAGGGCAGCTGGTCCTTTTTGAATCCTGTCAAGGGGCATACTGCCATCTTAGTCGTATTGCAAAGGGAAGACCACGTCCTTCTAAGCAGGGCTGATCCTATTACCTCTAAATATCTCTTCAACCGCAAGTTTAATGTGGAGTATCCACCGAGGGAGAAGTGGGACGCCGGTAGCCGGAGTGGGCGGACAGGTCTGGTACACGGGCGGCTCGGTCACCGAACAGGGCTCAGGCGCTGGGGTCTCTGGGCCTAGAACTAGGATATCTCTGCCTCTAGGTGGATACACCACTATTTTCCAGGCCGAAATCTTTGCGATTCTGGCTTGTGCATCTTGTATTCTGGAGAAGGGTGGGCCTAGGAGAAGAATAACAATCTTATCCGACAGCCAGGCTGCAGTGAAGGCACTAAGTGCCTCTAAGATTACTTATAGGCTTGTATTGCATGCAGCGAGGCATGCAGTATCGCGCTCTGGCGAAGACAAGATCAGCCAGCAAGCTCGTTGGTCCTGAGACAGCTTTAGGAGTGCCCGCGCATAGAGTTAGGAGAAACATGGAGACGCAAGGCTCTGGAACTCATTGAAGGGCCCAGCGCTAAGGGTGGACTTTTCTGCTTATGTCTGGTAAGAGCCAACCTTAGGTTACTGGTGGGACTGTTGTCTGGCCATAACACGTTGAGGCGCCACCTGCACGTGATGGGGGTGGCTGGGGATCCCTTGTGTGAGCGCTGCGTGGTAGAGGAAGAGACCTCGGCGCACTTTCTGTGTCGCTGTGAAGGTCTGAGCTACTATAGGCATACTATATTGGGGTCGACTACTTTGGACCCTCAGGATGTCAAGGAGCTCGGACTCAAGACCATACTCAACTTCGCAAAAGGCTTGTGATCAAAGGACTGTCGAGGTGCATAAGGGCCCGCTTAAGCGGCCTATGCACTGGCTCCTTATGGTGGCTGAAATGCCTCTAATGTCACAATTCATTCATTCATTCAATTTTAGCCTAACATGTTTGATCTGCTATGAACGACAGAAAGCTTGGGGCAAAAGTTACGGATAGTTAGACATTTCAATAGAAGAAACCTTATATCTTGGTTTGTTATTTTTGTCTACGGTCTCCTATTCCATGCGGCCATCACGGAGCAACATCTATCTCCACGAAATTGTCAAGATTAAACATGTTAGCACATGTAAAGAATTTTATAAAAGTCTGTTACTCAGTGCCTTTTTGTTGCATATGATTTCTAAGTATTTTATTTGGTTTTGCACACTGCATCAGGTTACAGCAACAGTGCTTTTTCTCAATCAGTCAGCATTATTGATGCTTTGAAGCTTACGACCAAATAATAAGCTGACCCAACACTCAACGTGACCTTCATACTCAACTTCATCGCATCACGTTGGGCATAATACCATGAGTTCTGCGTATGAAGACGTCAAGCTTGTTAAAGCTCCATCCATCTTCTCGGTTATGGCTATCAAAAGAGAACGTTTGAACTTGTATTCTATCTGACCCAAACATTTTGACGAGAGATATTGTCGAAATATTGCGCGGGTTATGATGCAAATAGCCTCGTTTAGAATTATCGTCTGTGTAATTATGCATTCGGGTCTAATGAGTTATAATAGAGTAATCCAAAATAATGATGACAGGCACAAACATGTTTCAAAATGGCATTCGGCTCTTTAGCATTACAGTGACCCTTTATTTAGTCGAAACAGTTATTTGCAATAATAAACATCAATAACCTTTTGTAACATTTACCTAAATAATTACTGTGCATTTTGGTTAATCGAGTTACAGAGAAACAATTTCATTACCTACGTGAAATATGCAGTAGGTGCTACGTAATGTATCTCATAATTGTGTTACAAAGGTGGACACCAAAATCCGAAAGAAGGTTAATCCAAGGAGTCTTTTCTGATATTAGGAATCAAATTCTTTCAACTAAAACACAGGATGTTTCAGAAAAACGTGGCAATATTTCTAGAACACACATTAGATCAAAACATAACATGAGAAGTTCGGAAAAGCATGGGTTCTAAAATACCCCTTCCTAGCAAAAAAAATACCTATATTTTCGATTCGATTAATATATTGACTTAAAATTTTGTACCTGCTCTACTGACATCATAGCCGATGAGTACAACATTTTTCACTCCTGCAGCTACACCAGTGTCATAGGAATAAAGAAATATTGCCACTGATTTTTTTGAAACATGAATGGAATTTCTGCATAATATATTTAATGTTACATAAATCGCCTCTCTTGAGAAATCCTTGTCAGACTCCTTTTGGAGAAATATGAGTTTGAATATTTAAGGTAAATTCCTCATAAACAAATTCAACCCATTCTACTGCGAAAATACGTTGAAGTTTGATATCAAAAATGGTTTGTAATGTATTACGAAAGTAGATCTAATTCCTCGAGCATTACTTGAACAATGATCGTGCTTTGTCTTTATTCAATCTTATCAGTGGCGTAGATATTTACGCCATACTGTATCTGATAATGGGACGTCTTAGATCTATGTTTATAGGAGCTTTTTGTTATTTTTTCAGTTACACGTTAGGGCTATTCAGAAAAGGCCTCAAAAAAGATCTTGAGGAGGACAATCTATACGAAGTACTGAACGACTGCAGATCAAAACAATGTGGAGATAAAGCCGAACGAAGGTGGAATAAGAAGCAGAATATCCTAATGCTTTTATTTAAGAACTTTGGATGGCAATATATTTCCATTTGTATAGCAGACGTTGCTTGTACGCAGATATACAGGTAACGTCTGATTCTCGATTTTTTTTTGGTATAACCAACAGATCTATTTATCATTTATTGCGTTAATACCACGCTAATATTCTGTCCCTTTGTGTGAAGTCTGAAACTTTTGTTGTACGATTCTATGATGTTTTCATAATTGCTTTAAGCAGCATCGTTCAAACAATTGTGCGACTCATAATGCTGTTGGCTAACCTTAGTCGCCAAATTGATTTATTTTGTAATTGGTAATGTTAATAGTTGCTATCCTTTACCTGAAAGTGTTCGCTGAATTTAACCTCTTTGTTCCTTCATAGCATGATAATAGGCACTACAGTTTTGCGGTGCCCATAAGAGCTTAATATTTCGTATATACTAACTTTATCTATTTGTTCAATAGTATCGTTCACCCATATGGTCTCAGCCGCCTTATTTCATATTTCGAGCCAAACCAAACAAAAATTACCAAATCTGATGCCTATTACTGTGCTGGAATAGTTGTTTTCCTGAACTTATGCAGGTCAATGTTTTGGCAGAACATGCATGTCTTCGAAATCACTTTAGGTAAGTATCAGCGGTGAGTAACCATTTCAATTATAGGCAGTAGATGACATTTCGTTTAAAATTTGGATCGATCGCTTATTTCTAGGCATTTAAGAAATTATGCCCTACAGGACTGTCAAAATACACATCTCTTATCTGGTACATATTGCCTCCTATAACACTATTACTTAAGTACATATAACTGTGAGCTACATCTCCATTGAAGAAAGACGACGTGAAGGTAATCGAGGCGGCATTTGTTATTTGCACGCGTCACATTTCACACGTCGCTTCGCTTTGTCCATATCCACTCGTCATTGTCTGTCAGAGCCTTCCGCAGGACCTTTCCTCTTGGTTAAAGTACCGTAAGGTGTCAGATGTGGTTGTCCAGCACAGAGGGTTCACTTCTTTTATCTCCGCTTACGTCCCCTCAGCACCAATTATTGTAAAGCTAATCATCAAGTCATTTGAATCAGTTGTACTGAATAAATTGTACGAAATAGCTATTAGAGAAAATTCTATGAACTGGTTTAAAAAGTAGCTTCAAGATAGGAATCAGTTTGTATGTACTAATGGTAATGAAAGTTCATTTAGAAAAATCACTTATGGAGTTCCCAGGGATCGGGTTTGGGGCCATTGTTTTTCCTGATCTATACGAATACAGTTTTTTCACTGCCTTTTTAAGGTTATATCAGTGTATATGCCAATGATACCACAATAATTTACTTTACTGAAAACATTGATCAAATCAACCTACGTATGGACATGGACTTAATGAAACTATCGGATTGGAAATATTTTCATGAATCGTTTTATATAATAGTGACTCATAAACACCTCGATAGGCCATATAGAGACCTGATTCTGTCGACTAAAATTATTGAATATGCTAGCAGTACTAAATTCCTTGGCATAAACATACATACAAAATTATAGACTACTCCCCACTGAAATATCTTAGACTCTTATATCTTAGCTTGATAAATAAACAAACTCTGGTTCCTAAATGCAACATGATATTATTTTTTGGTTGTTAAAATTAAAGCCAATAAATTTTGTGCCAATACTTTTAGGACATACATCATTTAAAAATTGAAAGAATATTTATTGAATCTGTAATATATTGCTAATATCGATGTAAATGTTCAATTGTACTATTTTGTTCATGATGATGTAATTTTATATTTGCAATTGTCCACCTATAAACTTGTAAAAGTTTCTCAAGTTTAATACTAATATCAGACTCCTAAATTTGGACTCTCAATAGGTATCAAGATCCGCGCCTCCTTGAAGTCGCTGCTCTACAGAAAGTCATTGCGCCTGTCTCCAGCCGCTCAATCGGTCACCAATCTTGGTAACATCGTCACATTGCTCACCAAGGATATCTACTCAATTGAAAACAATCTATGGCTGATCATGGACTTCAATACGTTCATCTTGCAATCGGTGACAGTATCCTACCTTTTGTGGAGACGAATGGGCAACTGCGCTTTTATTGGTCTGGGGTTGATCTTCGGTGCTATGCCCATACAAAGTGAGTACAAAATAGTGGAGATGATGTGCGCGCTTGTTTTGAGCAGCACTTCTGATGTTTCTTACCCTATAACAGATCAAATGCCATTGCTCACAATCAAGAGCTCGGGGGATTTCGTACAGCGGATATATACTAAGTGACATATAAATCCGAACACCCAGTTTAAATGGTTTTATTTTAGTAAAATTTTGTATAAGTACTTAATGAAGCATAATAAGTAAATGATAAGAATTTCAAAACGATTGCACTGCTTTAAAGCCCTTTGACCTTTAATAATGTGTGGATGCACCCTGATGTGCTACGCATTCTGCAACGCGCCTAGGCATGCTTCTGATCAGGTGGTCAATGTCCTCCTGTGGTATCTCATTCCAGGCAACCACCAACTCCTCTCCAAGTGCTTCTAGAGTCTGAGGAGGACGTTGCAAATTGACCTGGAACCATAAGCTATAGCATCCAAAACCATAACTCCAACAGTGTGATGAACATGTCTTTCAACAAAAAACTGTGGATTCCTCCTTTCACCACGTCGCCTTCTAACCCTGGCACGACCATCGTGCATGCCTAAACAAAATCGAGACTCGTCACTAAAGACAATAATACTGTTCCACTCCTGATCCCAGAGTGACCGTTGTCTGCACCACTCAGGCGATTACGTCGGTGTTCTCGAGTTAAAGGGAGGACCCAGTGTGGCCGGTATGAAAACAAGCCAAAACTTCTCATTCGTCGGTAAACATTTCGCATGCCAATAGGTCTTCCGTGTTCTGCAAACCATTCATTTGCAATGGACCTGGTAGTGGAGAAACGGTCCCTTAAGGCCAATAATCTTAGGCGGCGATCTTCACGGTCTGTTGTTCTACGGCGGCGTCCAGTGCCCCTTGCTCTTTGCGTACGGCCTTCTCGAAGCCATGCCTGACGACACCTAACCACAGTGACTACACTTCTTTGCACTCTAACTGCAATTGCCCGAAAAGGAAGTCCAGCTTCCCGAAGTCCCACTATACGGCCCCTATCAAACTCACTAAGTTGACGAAATCGTACAGGTCTCCGTACTCTAGGCATCGTAACCGATCGTAAAGGATTGCAAGAACCAAAATCCGCCAACGTTGATTCTTTACTGCGGCTGAAATATTCGTTTTTAGAGCGTTAGTGAATTAAAAAAAAGCAGTATAAAAGCCGGAATGTCCAACTGATAAGGCTGAACATTTTTTCATTTGTTATTTACAGTAAGATAAATACATTCACCAACTTTTATTAAAATAAAACCATTTAAACTGGGTGTTCGGATTTATATGTCACTTAGTATAATACTTCAAGATTACATAATTTTTTGAGAGATATACTCCATTTTACTGAGAAAATGAGAGGCTTGAATTGAATGGCTCTTGGGTGTGATATATGATCGAAGCTTGTGCGATGAAAAGCCGTAAAATTAAGAGTTTTGCGATAAAATGGTAGTGATGGCTGAAAACGGTAGATCTTTTAGCACAGATCGCGAATAATATAGAAGGCCCGAAGGTCACCTTGAAACATCCAGGTCACAGTGCACAAACTCTTAAAACGTCAATAGTTTGAGATCTCTTATTTTTGACCCTCTAGTAAATGGAGGTTAATTTGTTATACATGACCTCTGCTACAACCTTTTTCAGGGAGTACGTCAAATTTACGGTCACTTTCTAAGATCATTTATATAATACTTCATTGACGTTGTACTTGTTATTTTGTAGAGCATAGCTACAAATCCTTTATTGAAAAGTATTACGTACTACAGATCTCCGAGTGTTTCAGCCTACATACAATACAAAATATTAATCTTTTTTCATTATTCCTTGTGATTTGTTCCAGTATATCTCAGCACCTTGATAACAAAAATGCGACTAAAGGTTGGCAAGTATTCAGACGCTCGACTTCACGTGATGCAAGAAACTTTGTCGGCCATTAAGATAATAAAAATGTACACCTGGGAGCTATTCTTCATCAACAGAATCTCGGAATCACGAAAGTATGTATGTATTTTTTCCTTATCCTGCAAAACAACCAAAACTCATAATCATAACTAATGCCACACTTTCAGGAAGGAGGTCATATCCATGATGAGAATATTTTATGTCGACTATGTTCTAGTGACCATAGGAGTAATCACCTCCAAGATAACATTCCTGATCCTCATTCTATCCTACATCTGGATGGGTAACACCACAAGTACCGAGATGATTTTCTATGTACTAAGCCTGTTTCAGCAATTGACGACAGCTCTTGGCATCATGTTGCCTATCAGTATGGGAAAGGTATTAGAGGCGATTTGTAATTTCAGGCAGATGCCTATTATTATCAATTATCTTTATAGCTAGCAATGTTCAGAGCTGCTTTCATCAGGTTGAATAAGATGCTCCAAGCTGAGGAGCTAGAGAAATTTGATGATGAGAAGTGTACAGGAAATGCACAAATAGAAGCAAAAGCAGCTACTGTTAAAATCGAAGGCAAAGAAGTACTTAAAGACATAACTTTCGAAATGAATCCTGGGTTAACGATTATAAGTGGGCTAGTTGGAGCAGGTAAAAGCTCCTTGTTGAAACTAATATTGAGGGACTATCCAATGACAAACGGTAGGCTTATGTTATAACTTTTGTCATATTTGAATTATAATGAATTTCTAAATGTGTACAATAAACTTCAGATATTCCTGTGTAGAACTATATAAAAACTGTGACCATACAGTAATAGATTTTTGTTGTAGGTAAATTGAATGTGATTGGTAGAATGTCGTATGCTTCACAAGAACCATGGTTGTTTCCCTCATCTATCAAACAAAATATTCTGTTCGGTGAGGAATATGATAAAGCTAGATACAAGCAAGTTTTGAAAGTGAGTGCTCTAGAATACGATCTGTCCTTGTTGGATAATGGAGATGAAACTATTGTGGCAGATCGTGGTCAGAACTTGAGCAAAGGTAACATTTTTGGGTCTTTGGTATAAACGTTCTCACATCAGGGACAAAAAGCGTCCAAATCTTAGATAATCAATCTACGGAAAAATTCAGGGTTCAAATCCTACCTCGTTTGACGTAGAGCATTTTTGGTATTGTGAACGACTTCTCGGCCAAAAATATAAGTGGTGTAAGATGATCATGACGACGGTAGTCACACTGATAGAATACAGGATATTCTGAAAGTTGGGATTTATCTCTCCTGAAGCAAATACGCGTGAAACAAGTTATTCTGCGATAAAACAGCAAAAAACAGGCTGAAGAAAGCCGAAACCAAAGTGGAGGGGGGAGGGTGGGGGAGCGAGTAGATACTGTTCGAAACTGTTATCAATCGGTAATAAATACAAATTCTTTAGCCCCTTCCAATGTGCAACATTCTGGTCCGTCTTCGCCTCCTTGTACCAGATAAACGAACATGTGCAGAATGGAAACATCCATAAAAACAGACTTAATATAAACTGCTGTCTTGATTCGGGTCCTTCCATTTCCGATGCTGGATGTAGACTGACGGTTTCTCTTGCGCAGGTTGTATTTATACCTGACAGAACGAGCTCGAAAGATTTGCGAACCGGAGAACCTCCAGACAGAACTTGAACACCTGAAAACTGCGTTCGAAGCAAATGGCTACAGAAACAGGGACATCGAAAGATCAATGGGCTCGAGATCAGCCAGGCCACGTGAAACCGAACAGCGTCCCACCACCTCTCAAGCGTATCCTCCATTTGTGCCAAGAGCCACGGACAGGAATCTTCAAGCCTACGAAGAAGATCCAACAAACCATCAGATCGGCAAAGGACAAGAAGGACCCACTTTCAGCTGCAGCCGCATACCGTGTTCATGTGGCAAAGTAAACATTGGAACCACGAAAAGATCAATAGAACGAGGCTCAAGTAGCGTAAAGCAAATTGCCGGCTAGGACAGACTGAGAAGTCTGCGGTAGCTGAACATGCACTAAGCAATGGGGACCAGAGGATACACTTTGGGAGCTACAGGTTGCTGTCATCAGTCAACGGCTATTACAATAGACTGGTCAGGGACGCTATCGAGATTCACAAACATCCAGATAACTTCAACAGGACGGAAGAGACCCTCAAACTCAATCCGATCTGGCACCCAGTCCTGAGAAACTCCCGAGCAGTGCCGATCGACATCCCGAAGTCAACCGAAGCAGAACAAGCCACGTCACCTACCCTCCGGTATAAATACAACCTGCGCAAGAGAAATCGTCAGTCAATATCCAGCATCGGCTAGCGAAACGTTAGGAAGAAATTTCAACCGACGACTACCTTTAGACCCAAATCAAGACAGCAGTTTATCAACTGACCGCGAAAGCCTTAACCAATTTGTCAATCTTAATATACTTGCGTTAAAAGCATCTTGAAGATACGGTGAACATCATATCGACAAGTTCGTTTTTGGTATACGAATGTTCAATTTCCGTTTTTTTCCCAAATCCGATGTGTAAATAAACATCTCTTATTATCCACTTAGCGTGCGATGACTAGGATGTAAACCGACACATGTATATCTTCATGCTGCGGGTAGGGTCGATGTGATATCGCAGATTATCACAAAACCTAACAACTCGTTCTTCTTAAGACTTTGCTGGATGTGTTACTGGAAAATTGTCTTTGAAAACAATACAGGGTCCGCAAAGATGGGGTTTTCCTTTTCAGAAACAACTACCCTTCAAATAACAAAGGTAATGTGTAGTGAAACGAGGGCGACCAAGTAAAAAAAAATAAAGGAAAAAGTACTCACTCTCTGGTTGACGAGAAGGGCTGAGTACGTCTCTGCCCGAAATCATACCGCTCCAACAGAAAATGAAATCAGCTGATACGCTACCGAGCAGACGCCGGCGGTGGTGCAGATCACGAACAGAGGTAACAAATATGACCATCGTGCAGAAACCACATTGATTGTCTTACACTTAATGGCACATCTTCTAACAAGGAAGGCAAAATGTTGCGTAAAAAGTCTAGGTATTGCAACCCGTCCAATCGATTTGGGAGAATAAATGGTCCAATGAGCATACCGTTCACCATGCCAGCCCAAACATTCACCGAAAATGTTTGTTGAAAATGACCAAACATGAGTGTTGCGAAAGTTATTCACCCCATTACGCGTGAACGTAGATTCGTCTGTCACCAATATACACTTCAAAAAGTCCGGATTATTGTCATATTACAACCACTCACAAAACAGCACTCTTGCTGGAAAATCGTCAGGTTGAAGGGCTTGTACACGTTGGACGTGAAACGGATACAGCCCCTCTTCACGCAGCGTTTGCCACACTATAGTTTTTGATACTTGCACTTCTCTAGCCACGTCTCTAGTGCTTGTTGTTTTTTGAAGCGCAATCGATTATACGAGTTCGTTTACCTCTACAAGCGTGACCGTAACCGTCGGTTGAAGGTTGCATACTAACCTGACACACTGACCCCGACCCAATTCTGCCGTTGGGTTGAGACCTTGTAACAGTCGGGGATATCGCGGCTACAGGACGGTATTCAGATATTTTTGATGTTGCAGAGCCCTTTATCTCGGTTCCCTTAAGACATTGGTGTATATGGCACTAAGAAAAATTGCTTATGTTTTCAAGATCTACACGTCGTGTAAAGGAAACCCCCAACTTTGCGGACACCCTGTATATTTTATATCGAAGAGAGTCCTAACTAGGAAGACACCTTGCATACATCTCGTTTTTTACAGGTCAACAATCTAGAATCAACTTAGCGCGAGCTGTTTACAGAAAGGCTGATATTTATTTATTTGATGATTCTCTAACAGCCTTGGATAGGCATGTCCAAGAGTATATTTTTAACGAATGCATTCAAAAGTTTCTAAAAGACAAACTTGTTGTTTTGGTTTCACAAAATAGCAAGCAAATTGATAGATCAGACTACGTTATTATGATGGATCAAGGAACGATACTTAGCTCTGGAAAGCCAGATGAAATAGACAAAAGGAAGTTGAATGGCATAAAATCGATAATTAAGGAGAATGTTATTGATGACGTACTTGAAGAGGAAGTACTTCAAACAGAACAACAGTTTACTAAGAAGAAAGTTTACCAAGAAAAAAAGAAAGAAGGCAAAGTTGATTTGGTGGTTTACAAAAAATACATACAGTATGGAGGTGGATTTATCGTGTTTAGTCTTGTCATACTTCTATATATTTTGGCACAATCGTTTGAGAGTGTCTCCGATAAACTTTTATCCAAATGGTGAGTGGCAAGTCTTTGTTTTTACTAATTGGTCATTATTGCTTTCAAAGGCAAAAAAATAACAACGACCTACTTCAATGGGCTGTCTTTATTATCCCACAAAGTAAGCATTATTATTTATATTTCTTTGAATGGCGCATCCGAGTATTTCAAGTGGTATTTGACGAATAAGGCAGGTAAAGCTGGTTTTCATTAATTTATCTCGTTTGGTTTAATCATGCAGGCTTTAGACTATACGTGAGTTATCGTATCACGCGATTTAGGCGGTCAATTCGTGGAACTGAAAGCCACGCATGCCCTTGTGCGACAATCAGAGTTGGCCCATTGAAGCGCCTTATCTGTGAAGTAATTCATAAAAATATGAACCTCTAACTGATTTCACGCTACCGCTACCAAGATGTGTAAAGATGATCCAACATAAAATCAATGAGTTTATTTTTCAGGATAGATCTACAGCAGAAGGTTCTAGACATGCAGGCAAATTCTACAATCAATGCCACCGTTTATGAAGATACTGTAACACTGAAAGACAACACATTTGGCATGTATACGATACTTACAATTCTTAAATCAGCAATGGGCTTGGTGAAATACTATGCATTCCTAAGATTCTGTAGAAACGCTTCAATCAGAATTCACAATGCAATGTCTTCCTGTGTCGTCAATGCGGAAATGAAGTTCTTTGACAACCACTTCATTGGGAATATTCTCAACAGATTTTCGTATGATTTGAATAATATAGATGAGAGCTTGCCGTTTATTTTTCCCATGGTGATGGGTGTAAGTATTATCACAAAACTGTAGTTAACCTGGAATATTATTTTTCTTCTTCTTACTATCACCCCTTTCTTCCTTCTTTTCTTTTTTCTTAACAACTTTTCCTTAACTGACTGCATTAACAATCAACGGCTGGACTTTTCCAAACATTGACGCATATTCTATATTTTTTGAACTTACTGACAACGCTGCTTTGTTCTCCAGAATTTCATTTTTATTTTTATCAGTGTGAGTACAACATTAATGACTGAGAAGTATCAAGTGACTAAACTAGTCAATTTTCTAGGTCATGATCGCTTGCATGGGAGGTATTATATTGATAGCCACAGTGAATTGGCTTCTTCTACTACCATGTAGTGTCTTTTTAGCAATTCTAGTGTTGATGAGAACGGCCTACATACCAACTTCGCGAAGCCTTAAAAGGCTTGAAGCTGCTAGTGAGTTCCATCTGTCATTAAAAATTTTGCATTATCATCTTTAAGATACATCGTATTTTAGCAAGAAGTCCACTGGTTGGGCATATCAACTCCTCCATGGAAGGCATAACAACAGTAAGGGCTTTCAAGGCTCAACAGATCCTAAAAAACGAATTCGACAAGCATCAAGATTTGTATACTTCAGCATTATTCACGCTTAAAGTCACAATGACGGCTTTTGGATTTTTCATGGACTTCGTGAGCCTCATCTTCACTATACTGATCATTTCTAGGTTTCTCTTTTTTGATCACGGTGAGATATCTACAATCTTTATACAGGAAAACCAAATTTGTCTGACGGCTTGGGTTCAATGTATATACCTACCTAACAGAGTATCACTAGAAGTGTGTACCAACAGATGTTAGAAGGAGATAGAAGCCGGCTGAAGAGCGAAGGTCATCCCATATTGCCAGCGGTTACACCAGAAATGCTCGCACAGGCTGCTACAATAGGTTTGGTTACTGACAAACCCAAGAAGTGGGTCTGTTCGAAGATTTAATTTAATATTTTTTTATCATTTTGATTAGAATTATTCATTTCAATTTTGATGCGATTCATTGTTTTAATTTATCTCAGAACCTTTGATTTCCACCGATGGCTATTAAAATCAACACATCCTGAGTTATCGTTACATTATTTGGGCATAAAGAATAAACTAACGCATATTTTCAATGTGCATCTTAATTAAAAGAACTGGTGTTAACATATTGGCTACGCGGCAGACTGTCGGCTTCTTCTGTCAGACAAATTTGGTTCTCAGTGTATATATTACGAGCGAAAACGTGTCGGGCAATGATATTAGGCAGTCAATGATGATAATGCCCTGGCAAGTTCGGGTTCCAGGTCCTAGTAGTGTTTGGTTAGACCTGGTTGCTTTTTCAATTTCTCTTTTGTTACTGCAAATATCGAAATACCCCTCACCCGTTTGTTCCGATGTCAACAATGCCCATCAATTCTTGGCCAATTTCATTAATAACCGGGTAATTCATAATCAGAATCTTCACAACACTGCCCATAATGGGCATTTCTGTCATTCTCCGACCACTAACGTTGATGCCCAATTAACGTTTTTACACATAGCTGTAATGATAAGAAATAATTATATTCAGTCTTCAAACAATGGTAAATACATTCAAACATTTTTTTCTTACCATTCTCTAAAATTTTGTAGGGATTTCTGCTGGCAGCGTAGGGCTTGTGCTCACTCAGGTTTTTATGTTGACGGATCATCTTCAGTGGGCAATTCGGCAGTGGGCACAACTTGAAAATCACATGACTTCCGTGGAAAGAGCTTTGGAATATACGGATATAACACAAGAGGACAAATCAGGTATGTGATGCTTACAAATTTGGATTTGGAGACATCCTAACTCATGAATGTAGAAACGCGGGCTTAGCCTCTAGCTGTAATACCTGTATACGTTTTTCTACAGGGCGTGAACCAAAGAATTGGCCAACAGATGGAGCAGTTACTTATAACAACGTGTCTCTGCACTACGAAAACACTAAAGCTCCGGTAATAAGGAACGTTACGTTCCAAGTGAAACCAAAGGAAAAGATAGGAATTGTTGGAAGAACAGGAGCTGGCAAATCGTCCGTTATATCAACTTTGTTTAGATTGTACGACTGTGAAGGAAAGATAGAAATTGATCGTGTGGATATTAAAGATGTTTCTCTAAAATACCTGAGGTAAGTATGCATAACCCAAAAGTGTGAAGGATGTATAGGCTTACACCATAAGTATTTGAAACACCTGTATCTAGGAGACCGTCCCAACCACAACCAACGGTATACGCTGTTTTATGCTTTATAGCAATCATCAGTACGCTATAGTCTATAGACCAGCTAAGTCTATACAGTGGATCAATATCTACTACTGTAGACTAGACGTAAAGCATTGTTCAAATGTTGGTTATGGTCGCAAAGTCAGAAAACAGATCCTACTCAACCTGTATCTAGGTTCTATCCGGTTGATGATCTTTGGCATTAATCGCAAGACGAATTCTATTTTCAGGAACAAAATAGCTATTATTCCTCAGGATCCAATCCTCTTCTCAGGAACGATACGAGAAAACATAGACCCATCCAAGACTTTCGCCGACAACAAAATCTGGGAAACGATTTCAAAAGTGAAAATCAAAGACATTATTTCAAGCCTAGACATGACCATCCAAGATAACGGATCAAACTTCAGCTCAGGGCAGAAACAGCTTATTTGCTTGGCTAGAGCTGTGATAGGGAATTGCAAAATAGTTGTTTTGGATGAGGCAACTGCAAATATGGACCCTGTCACTGACAAAATGTTACATGCAGTGATAGACGAAGTGTTTTCGGATTGTACCATACTGACGATAGCCCATCGGCTACAGTACATATTGGACTGCGATAAAGTTATTGTGATGGATAATGGTGAATTGGTGGAATGTAATAGCCCGAAAGAGTTGTTGCAGGATCAGTCTTCACTTTTTTATAAAATGTGCAAGCAGTCGAAGAAGGATTAAGAAATTATAATTTGTTTGTTTTAATCTATTCAATATATTTTTTACAAGAAAACTTTTCACCGTTGGATTAGGATCTCTAGAGGTACGGCACAACTGCCTAATATCGCAATCTCTCAAAACCTGTCAGTTTTTTTGGACCATTTTCATGTAAGTTTGTTTTGATAGCGATTGTTTTATCTATTTGCTTCATCCTTAAGAATGTCAATGGCATCATCGCATGTCTCTAGAGATTCTCTACCAATGTATATTACTTACTGTCCAAGGTACCTCGCTGTGGACAAATAAAGACGTTCCTTTTTCCTTATCTAGTTCGTGGTACTTTTGAAAATTGTCTTTAATACAATGCCTTCAAACATTAACTATTTCTTACTGCAAAATTTCTATCTTCGCCTCCGTGGCATCAAGCGAAAGATACTTGGTACACCGAAATAATTCGATGTGCTAGTTGCGAATACAGCTGAGGCCCTTTCTAGATCTCGGCAAAAAGCTGAGATCAAATTCGTAATCCACGTATCCGATTTACACAAGGAACAGTCTTTCATCTTGATCGCAGATCCACAAAAATTTTCTTGATGCAAAATTTCAATTTTGGTTTCCCATTCTTATAGGCAACCCAAAGTCCATTCAATGAGGTTATTTAGAACGCTGATGTCGAATATAGTATTAATAATAAAGGTCTTTCATGATAAGCATATAACACTTATGTCGCAGTAGATAATGTGAATTTAATGATATAGGGTGTTAATTTGAAATCTTCTCACCACGGATTTATCGAAAACCAACCTCTGCCACCCAAGGTCCATTCTCTTAGAAATTTTAAATGACAAGGGGTATCAAGTAACAGCTTGTTTGAAAGCTCTTTTGAAATCCATTATTTTTACGTTTGATTTTTTTAAATCAGTCGATTCATTTTCGAGAAAATTAGAAAAATCTTTATTTATATTGATTTGTTCAGATAGAAAACAAAACACACGAAAATGTCACTTTTTATATCAATAAGTGTTCAAAATGTTGCTTGTTATTGGCTAATCAATGATACAGGCGATGTTCAAATTCCTGACGGACATTTTAAAAAACATGTTGTGTGATATCATGGCAGCTTTTGATAATGAGTTGACGAAGTTCATCCAAACTTTCAGGTTGGGGAGTAAACACAATAGATTTCAAATGGCCCCATAGAAAAAAGTCTAATGGCGTCAAATCAGGAGATCCAGCAGGGCATTCTGTGGGGCCTCTTCGCTCTATCCATTTATCTGGAAACTTGTCGCCTAGCCATTGCCGAACCGGAAGAACTTAGTGAGGAGGAGCGCCGTCTTGCGGGAAATATATTTCAACCATATCAAGTCTCCTCTTCGACTTGGTTTTCAATGGTTTCATGGTTAGAATCATTTCCACTATTTCGGCTAGTGTGTAAACCATTTTTAAAGTAAAATCTGAACCAATAAATTAATTTTCAGTATCCTAAGGTTGTCACAATGGTAACTGACAGCAAATTAAAGTCTTCTTACCCTTAGCAACAAATAACTAAACAGGAATAACAATAAATACAGTTCGTCCAGGATATCTGAGTTGATGAAAAGACAACGGGTTGTTATTTGGTTGTTGCGACATCTAATCTTCCGAATTGATGTTTATGTTGGTAGTTTCCGTTTTAAATTAGAAACGAATTGTAGATTTGGCGAACCATAACGGGATATATTTTTAACACTTATTGAAATAAAAAGTGATATGTTCGTGTGGTTTTGTTTTCTATCTAAACACATTGAAATAAATAGAGATTTTTATAATTTTCTTGAAAATGAATCGACTTTGAAAGAACTGTCAAACAAGCTATTCCTCGATACCCCTTGCTATTTAAACTTTTTAAGGGAATCAACCTGTTAAAAAGTTGTCCCTCTTGACAAATCTTTTGACGTGTCTCGGCGTTTTTTCTTTTAATCAGTGGTTTTCGATAAATCCGTGGTGGGTTTTCAAGTGAACACCCTGTACATATAAATTTACACCAAGGAGGAAAGGTCTTGCGAAGTGAGGACTCAAACTCGTTTGCTTAATTTGTTTTGAGATTAGTTGAACTTTAATGATGTTTTTGCCTGAAGCATTTCAGTGTAAGCGCGTTGTACTCGTATGTGAAGCACTTATGAAAGAATGAAGTCTTGTGAGGTATTGTGAGTGTATGTCTCTTGAGTGGAGCTTGTGCTCATTCGAGCGAATTGAAGTAAGCAAGAGCTTATGAGTTTAATTCAATTACCTTCATCTATCCCTAGTGTCTTGAAAAACCTATATGGTCAGATTTTTTTTCAATTTATTTATTAGCCTACAACATGAATTTTTAATTTTTTGTTAACGTTCAAGATATACTGTATCTGTAAAAGGATTTTAAACTATATCACAGTAAGTAATTTTGGACATAATTAATGACTTGCATTCTTTTAGTTTGGTAATCAAGAATTCCTTGATAAAAGATATATCTGACGTAAGGTCGGAAAGCAGCTTTTAGTACCATTGTTTACTAGAGCTATACCTACACACGTATTTGATATATTCATGAGGAAGAATTGTCAAGTTCTTACTGCTTCACTAGATTCGATAGTAGCACCATCAAAACTGGTATTTAAAGTAGTTCTTGACATGGTTCCTAAAAGTTTCTTCTTTCCTGCATCCTTCGCCATCCAGGCTAACGAAGTGCCGATGAGCCTCAAATGAAAAATGGGACTTTTAGGATCTCCCTTCGATCTTTGCAAAGTGACGTAGGATTTGTGATTGCAATTCTGACGGAATGTTTGAAAAATTTTCTCAATTTGCAAGCGATAGAAACTCAATACTGGAATAAAAAGATGAACAATTGTAAAAGAATTGTCTTTTGTGACCTCCTGTTAATCTTAGTGAACAGCTGATAGTGCATCCATTTGATTTACACATATAGCGTCTCTGTCTACATTGCAGGTATTCAGATACTCAAAAGATGTTCGACAATTCTCCTTAATAGTCTCTTGTCTGTAAACTAACGAAACTAAAAGTATACTGCTTTGTGATCATTTGGCTCTTATTTGAAATATGGACACAAATATTTTGAAGAGCCGCGAAACCCAACTTAGAGCATACAAATGGGACTTCTGGTTTCTCCTGTCGATTCCAAGCAAAACTTGTTTATAGTCTTAGTCTCTAAACGTTGCTTCTGCATGATGTCCACTCCAGAAGACATACTCAATATAAGATAAATGAAATGCTCCCACGCCTATTCTTATCGAAGTCGTGTGAATAGGGGAAATAAAAGAGAGAGGAGACCTTTTCTTGAGCATGCATAATAATTACGTTCAAGTAGAGACTAGCCCAGCCGGATCCACTTGCCTGTCAAGCACTCTTTTATTCCCAATAGAAAAAAGCTGAATACAAATCACACAACGTGAGCACATATTGTCTATGAATGATTCGAAACCCCAGAGGCGGTCCTTAAGTGGGAAATTGTTCTGATTATAGATCAACAGACCCTCAAAGAAAGCGTAAACATTTTGGTACATTGCGCTTAGATATCATAACGCTTCAAATGGCCAACTATAATTGAAACTACTTGTAACTGTAACTATACACCTCGTCTGTCTTGGCAATCATTTTCAAACTACAATGTTTGTAGTAGGACGTATTCAGATTGATTTAATAGCAGGATGCAGGAGTGGTGCTCATAACTAATTTTAGTTTTTTTGTAATTTTCAAATTTCTGGCTTAACCATAGTGCTTTGCATGCATTCATTACTTAGGTTGAAATGATCTTTAAGCATAGAACAAAAAGCTTATTTTTACTTCTGTAGTACTGTGTATCTGCTATTCGTATTTGAAGTCAACAGTTTTGCCGTTTTGGATTTCAAAATCTTTCCGATAACGTTCATATGACAGTGAAATATTTAAGATTATGTTTTTTAATTTATTTTGATCTAAAGTATTCTGAGACCGTGATATGCTGCCTACAAAAATCGCGTTAGAACCAAAAACACGTGGAACATCCACGTTGATTTTGCGAAAAGGAGAGAAAAGATCATCGTGTACAATAGATAATTTACACGTAGAGGGCAACGCAAAGGATTATCTGGTGGCTTAACTAACAGTTCATGTTGCTGTGATGAGCGACATATTTCAGTAGCTAGTTGTTCATGCACTTCTTTGGTACTTTGCCAATAACGGAGAATACCTTCTGCTTCGATTGATTGTGATCAACACGTCAATGTATGCTCGTACATGCTCACTATAATGTGGCATTCGAGGTGCTGTATATTTTTGACGTTACCTAACAGCTATGCTAATTTGTGAGTTTCACAATAGAGTACAAGCTCTCATCCAGCAGGATATTCGGTCTACTGCACTAAATGAAATACTAATAAAACTTTGACAACAATACCGTTGATAAAAACACCCTTGACTTATTATTTTCTGCGCTGGAGAGAGAAACGCCTCCAAACAAACAAATTTCCCCAGTTACAAAGTTGAAAATTCGTTTCTGCTCAATGCCATAACTGCATTCATAAATTAATTACTAAGTTGAAACAATATGTTGTTTACAACTAAATTTTGCGAGTGAATTTTCGCGCGAAAAGCTCGCTCGCCACCGGCACCGGTGAGGGCGCGCAAAATATTTCAGTTGGCGTGAATTTTAATTGGCAATTATTTCAGTCGACTTGGCTAATTCGATGGGATTTAATGAAAACGCTGGGAACGGATGGTGTAGCCTGAAACTGTTATACAGGTCAACAGATTACACTTTTTCATAAGGTATGGTAACGTATTGTAGTAGTGACATATTGACATTCAACTAACCACGCATTGATACACCAAACAATAAACATATACGAGACTCGATTCGTATCCTCTACCCTGAACTTGCAATACTACTATTTAATTTATATGTCATTTTTCTACTCAATCTCTTGTTTCAATCAGTGTTTCCCAAACTCATCTAATGCGCGATCTCGCTTTGTTAAAAACATTGTTCACGAGCTCCTATTTTCCCAAATTGATCACCCAAACCTAAAAATAGCGTGTCTAATTTGTAAGTAACTGATGATTTCTTATTATATTATTATCTTATTTTACTTTACTGTTTAAATTTAAGTTGAAAATATACTAAAAAGGTTCATCAACTATTTTGAAACCTGCGACCTATCCTTCTATTCACTAGCAGTACTTCTACATTAAAAATAAATAATAAATTGAAAGGACGA